GCCTCTTTCCCCCACAAAGCCAGACAGAACATTTCAGATAAAAAGGCAACTTGCCATGCTATTTCTACTGTTAGGATTCAAGTGCAAAGATTTAACCACCTCAACAACACCCATCCTAACCCTTCTGTCAAACCCCATGTCAGTTCATTCAGGGCAATGTCTTTATTTTCAATACCGGAAAAGAGGGATGTGAATATGAGAGTATCCACTATTTTTAAAGTTTTCTGGATTTGGTATAACAGGCAAAAGTACATATTGGATGGCAGTTTGTGGAAAGGTAGCCAGAAATTATGAGAATCTAACATCGCACCAAGCCTGCAAAATGTCCTGCAGATACCATTTACAGAATGCCACAGGACGATGAGAATATCTTTTTGCAAGATGCACTTTGGGTAAGGGTCCAAAGTGAGTATGGTGGATACTGGGTTTTATTTTATTTTTCTATGTTTAAACCAAAAATTTGTAAATTTCTTGATAGTCAAGATATAAAACACGTTGAGCCCAGATCTGGATTTTGCTACTACTCATTGGAACTACTGTCTGTCATTTCACTGATTTCCAATCATACACTCTGCTTCAGTTCTAGCTGGGTGCACTTCATTAGCCTAATTTTTTGCACTTGTAGCTGGAAATTAAACAACTGCAAACTTATTTTTTATAAATAAGATTTATAAATTTAAGAAATTAGGCACGAGTTATGTTCATCCATGTTTGTAACTCGGTGGACTATGTGGATTTATACCAGCAGAAGAGGTGACCCAATGTATCTTACAAATAATATATTTTTTTTTTAAGTCAAGCTTCCTCCCTCCTGGACTGACTTGATAAATTCTTAGTAAGTGATACAAACTTCCCCACAGAGAATTTAATTTTGCAAGAGTCTTTTGAAGCTTCTGGGGGAAGTAAAGGGCAACAGGCACAAGTACTTGTTTAGGTATGAGCTGTACTGAGAAAGTGTTCAATTTAATTTTTCTACTGCTCCTATATCAAACACTACTACTTCCATGTTACGCTTACAAAACACTCTCTGTTGATCTCACGATGCTTCACAAATCAAATATACACAACTACACACAAATGCAGCTACTTCTGGGGCAACAGTTGGTCCCCAACTCTCATACAATGTTCTAAGGCATGGCATAATAAAGAGAAGACACAGACAGGAGGTTATTTGGCAGAGGAATCAACTCCTATTACAAATGTGTCATAAATTCTTTAAAAAAATACAAGCAAAAACCCTCAGACCATAAGGTTTAATTGATAGAGCTGCACAAGATAACTTACTAATTCTCGGTTCACCTAAGAATTAAATGGACCCTAACAAGAGCTCAAAGCAAGTATGGGCTAGACACTTGGCTCCAACAATGGACTCTATGTTTACTCAAGCAAATTATGTTCATCTGTTCAAAAAACAAGAGATCATTCCCACCTATGATACCTACTCCTGGGCACTCTGCTTTATTTCTCTGTGCATTTGTAAAATGGGAATAATAAAAATTATATATACTAGAAAGATGGTGGGATAGGGATTCCCCCATGTTGTGTGTGTGCGTGTGTGATGGGTAGCACAATAGGCGCCTGATTTCATTTAGGGCATCACGGAGGTGCTATGATTAATAAGAACCATCAATCAGCTTGCTCAGCCTGTCATGAAGAATTCTGACTGCTTCACCAAAGACAGACTCACAGGGATGAGCTGTCGGACAAGTCAGAGATAAGGCTCTGCATTCTCCACAGTGAATTAGACCCACGTTTTCCACCATTCTGGTGGAAATTCAGTGGCAGCTTCAGAGCAAGTCTATAAAGAAACCTCCATTTTTAATTTTACATAAAATCAATCGACACTATGCTTTTGTGAATTTGATACTAAATTCCATTATTTAACATTACACTCTTACCTTCAGTTTCCATCATTTGCACATTTTGCACTGACAGAGTCTAACTGGATCAAAGTTAGCAAGGGTGAAGCTGGAAGGCTGGCAGCTGGTCAGGCAGTGAGAACATGTAACAGGAAGGATGAAGGATTTAAGAGCTGTGTCTAGGGAGAACGGTGAGGAAGATTTATAAAATCCCTGGTGCTTCAAGACATAAGGCAGAAACTACTGATAGGGGATAGAAAGGCACTTTCTCCATGGGCAGGTTATTCAATTGCGTCTTTTGCAGCTTTCTTGCACTTTCCCCTGCAACAGCTGTTACTAGCCCCCATTAGATAGACAACTATTCTGATCCAGTGTGGCAGTTCCTTTCTTATACAGGCAGTCCCCGGGTTACATGGATCCGACTTACATCGGATCCCTACTTACAAACGGGGTGAGGCAACCCCGCACTAGCTGCTTCCCCCCAGCAGACTATGGAGACACGAAGCTAGTGCCCCCCCAGCAGATCAGGGAGGCGCGGAGTGGCTTTTCTCAGCAGACACCTCAGCTTGAGAATAAAGGACTGAGGGAAGTAAGGTGTGGGAAAATAAAACTGAGCTCTGGAGAAATGTTTGGCTAGAGTTTCCCCTACAATATGTACCAGTTCCGACTTACATACAAATTGAACTTAAGAACAAACCTACAGTCCCTATCTTGTACGTAACCCGGGGACTGCCTGTAATTACTTTTATTACAAAAATCACACACAAAGAACTTTGAAAATTAAATCCTTATGTTATACTTGCAAAATAATAAAGAAACTATAACTATATAAAACACACAGATTTGGTTTGATCCCCTTTCCAAAAGGGATCCTTAGGCTAGTTCTTAGTGGATGAGGAAGACAGACAGAGAAGCAGACAAACCAAGAGAAGAAGAAAAGGAGAACTTCAGATTCAATCTAATTTTTACTTCATGTTAGCCTTAAAACAGCAAATTCAGCTTTTGTTCTCTTTGACTCTCAGGTCTCTGTATCGGTGACCTGAGAGTAAGACTGTCTACACTTAGGCTATGTCTACACTGGCAGCTTTTTGCACCAGAAATATGCAAATGAGGGTAAGTGTGGAATATCACCAAGCCTCATTTGCAAACCTAATGAGCCGTCATTTTTGCTGAAGAGGCTCTTGCACCAGAAGGAGCTGTCTACACTGCCCCTTCTTGCGCAAGAAAACCCCTCTTGTGCAATGCTGTTACGCCAATTATTTTCAGGAATATTGGCATTGTGCAAGAGGGTTTTTGTTGCGCAAGAAGGGGCAGTGTAGACAGCTCCTGGCGCAAGAGCCTCTTCTGCAAAAATGACGGCTCATTAGGGATGCAAATGAGGCTCGGCGATATTCCACACTTAGCATCATTTGCATATTTCTAGTGCAAAAAGCCACGAGTTTAGACATAGCCTATAGGTTTTGCTCTGTCAGTTTCACTGGCCATAGGGAAATAGTAAAAGAAAAGGGTCATGTACACACTTTCACAAGTGTCAGAGAGTGTTTACATTCATAGCATTTCCACTGCTGATGAAAACAGTACCCTAATGGCAACCATCCCACAGCGCAGATCTTATGGGGCAGAGTCTATGGCTCACTGGTAAGAGTCGTACTCCTCTGACGGAGGTGGTTTTCTTTTTTGTGGTCTAACTATTGAGTTTCACTGCAGAAAGTCACTGATTTAAATGCTTTCATAGATTTGCACAAAAAGTGGGCCTTTTCCACTTTTAAGGTAGACATGCCCTAAGAATTTCTCAATCTATTGATAAGATTATTATCTCTGGACAGTTTCAGGAAGTGTATCATGTTGATATTGGCTCATACAAATACCACTTCTTGAAATCTTCACAGTATTTCCTTTGCACTTCACTTCAGAGACTCTGCAGCCAGTTAGTATTCACAAGTATCTCTGCTAACCATCCAACTGTGGGCAGCAGATATTTTAAAACAGCAAGAACTCCAGATTTGCAGCAATGAGCAATGTGACAGATGGAGTTGCCACCATTTCTAATATTCTTGCTCCAGTGCTTGGTATGGAGACTATCGTAGGACTTGCTGGAAATACCATTGCTTTGAGTATCTTTTGCTCGTACAGGAATCACTGGTCATCAAGCACTGCATATTTATTCAGCTTGGTCATTGCTGATTTCTTCCTGATAATCAACTTGCCATTTCGTATCCACTACTACCTGAAGAATGAATTCTGGAGCTTCACAGAGATATTTTGCAGTGTCAACCTATTCATGTTGTCAATGAATAGGACAGCAAGCATTATATTTCTCACTGCCATTGCAATTGATCGCTACTTTAAAGTGGTTCATCCTCACCACCAAATGAGTAAAATATCAACAGCTTGTGCTGCAAAAGTAGCAATTGCACTTTGGATCACAGTGATACTGATGAACAGCCATGTTTTTATCTTGGATCACAATCAAAGTCAGAACAATTGTCAAAGTTTTAACTCTCGTCTACATCCACATGCAGCAGACACATGGCATGCACTATTATTTTTTCTTGAATTTTTTTTGCCTTTAGGCATCATCATTTTCTGTATTTTCAACATTATTTTGAAGCTAAAGCAGAGGAAATTGGCTAAAAGGAATAAGGTCCAAAGAGCTGTGAAAGTTTTGGTGGTCATTGTTTTGATGTACACCATCTGCTTCTTGCCTAGTATTTTAATTGCTGCAGTTGGCCTGGTCATTCTAATGGTATCTCATACTCACGTTGACACTATTGGCCAGTTATTACATGTCTCACTTGCCTTCACATACCTAAATAGTGCACTTGATCCAGTTCTGTATTGCTTTTCAAGCCCAGCATTCCTAAAAAGATGCAAAAAAGTGCTTTGCCAGGCTGGCTGCTTTAAAACCTCTGTGATAGAAGGATCCAGTGAAAATTCATCAAGATATCCAGGACAAAGAATGAGGAGCCTCCAACCATCAACAGTAAGAGAACAGACTCCACGCATGAGCCTACGGACACCTTCCTCTTCTACAGCCAACACTTGTTAAAAAAGTGTTGATGTTTCCTTAAAATTTGTTGAGTGATAGTCTCCATAGCAATTGAACCACATCCAAAAGGCATGTCCTGAGTTTTAAAGGAGCTGAGTGCACCTGCTGCCCAGTGACATCAAGGGGAATTGGGAAGACGCAGTAGAACTCCTCTGAAATCAGGAAGCATGAATACAGCAAATAGTTGAAAGAGCTGCAGAAATTCCATGATCTGGTGGTACAAGTATGTGATGGAGTCATAAGCTCTTGGTTATATTCTTGATTCTGTGTATGTCTCACTGTATGACCTGGCCAAGTCAGCTAGGCTAAAAATATTTAACTTTGTCTATAGAAGCCTAAATAGGAAGTCTGAATTTCTGACGTGTCTTTAACTGCCTGTAAAATCAATGGCACTGATGAGGGCTCAGGTCTCTGAAGATCAGGCCATTTAGATGACTTTCTTTAGGCAAGCAAATTTCAAAGTGTTGCCTCTAATTTTTTTCTGTCTCCATTCCCCGTATGGAGAATACTATCACTTTCTTAATTCACACGGGTGCTGGGAGATATTTGACATTTTCCAGAGAAAAGTGCTAAATACTGTAATGTATAATATTGGCAGCAGTAATCTAATTGCATATGTTTGTCCAGATTCCCATCTCAGTTATATTAATCATCATCATTAATTCTCTGCCACAGCTTTGTATGATCGTTTATAGAGCCTTCTTAAAAAGACTTAAGACCAAATTTTCAAAAGTACTCAGCAACCACAAAGAGGGCCAATTTGTCAAGAGAGCGTAACTTCCAGTTGGGCACCAGATAAATAAACAGATGGTCACTGGGTGAAAGGCTCTATTGAAAGATACGTCTAGAAGTATCAAAATGGGAGTGGCTGGGAAATGAGCACTTTTGAAAATCAGATCCATAGTCTCTTCCCCCAAAGTGTTTACAATCTAAGGTAACCAAACCTAGCCAGGGAGAGAATTTTGGTCCCAGAGAAATCAACGAGAGTTTTGCAATTGATGTCAAGGGACCCATACTTTCATTCATGAAATGGAAATAGGTGATGAAAAGCAAGGTGTAAAAAGCGCTTTGAATGAGGACAGGATTTAAGAGACTTAACATACAAAAAATGGCGTAGGGCATGGGGAGCAATGTGAAAAAGGCCCTGGGACAGAATGGGAAGAGGAAATGGAGCAACAACAGGAGAGGAGTGAGCAATGTACAAGGTGGGAGCTGTGGAGAAATGGGCAAGGAAACAGGAGGGCAGAGCATGGAATCTATAGAGCTGCTCCAAACCAACACTATTGTGATAAGTTCAGACACTGGCCTGTCATTTTCAAGGAAAATTTTACATGGTTATTGAAGTAAAAGAAAACAAAGCTATCCTCTTGTCTTGGCAATTGCTAAACCAGCCAAAGCTTCCAGAAACAGAAGGGAAGTGATGCAAATGCCTCTGATGAAAGCCCAGGAACCAACCCTCTGTTTGATACTAAATATTTGTACTTCTGTATGCCACCCATATTGTACGTAAGTACCTAGGTCACAGATCATTGCTTTCATGATAATTTAAAGCTAAGAAAATATCTGTATATTGAAAAGATCATTTCTTTTCAAAACATATGTTATGCCGTGAGTTATCATTTTGTTTGGGACATAATGACTGCGTCTAGACTGGCATGATTTTGCGGAAATACTTTTAATGGAAACGTTTTTCCGTTAAAAGTATTTCCACAAAAGAGCGTTTAGATTGGCACGGATGCTTTTGCGCAAAAACTGCTTTTGCGCAAAAGCATCCGTGCTCAGTATAGACGCACTTTGTCCGCAAGAAAGCGCCGATGGCCATTTTAGCCAACAGGCTTTCTTGCGCAAAAAATTAAGGTGCCTATCTACACTGGCCCTCTTGCACAAGTATTCTTGCACAAGAGGGCTTAATCCTGAGTAGAAGCGTCAAAGTATTTGCGCAAGAAGCACTGATTTCTTACATTAGAACGTCAGTGCTCTTGTGCAAATTCAAGCGGCCAGTGTAGACAGCTGGCAAGTTTTTGCACAAAAGCACCTTCTTTTGCGCAAAATCTTGCCAGTCTAGATGCACCCAATGGGAAGCTGTGAATGTGGTTTTTACTACCATCCCTAACAGATCCAGTGATAGCTGAAAAATGTTTCCCTCAGTCAGCAGTCAGTGCCTAATTTAGTGGCTGGAGTTTTATTTTGAACAATTATTTACTGTCCACAGCATTTTTGAATTCTCTGTGAGGAAGAAGGTGAGTTAACAACACTTTCCACAGATGGCCCTTTTAAAGGATGTCATGCCACAGTGTTCTGAAAGCTTGCCAGGCAACGGGCATGTTTTAGCATGCAAAAATGGTAAATTGCAATAGAAATAACTGGTCCAGCTCCTCTTTAGGTTAAATCACTGTTCTGCCAATGGGGCAAAGCTAATTTACACTGACTGAGGGTCTGGGCCAAACATTTGGTATTTCTAGCCTACCATAGTGCAATGTACAATACCTATAGGCTACGTCTAGACTGCATCCCTCTGCCGAGAGAAGGATGCAAATCAAGCACTTCAGACGTGCAAATGAGCCCGGGATTTAAATATCTTGGGCTTCATTTGCATACTCACATTCCAACGCTGCGCTGATCAGGCTCAGAGTCAAAAGTGAAAGTAAAGTGTAGCCACGGCTCTGCAAACAGTGAGGAGCTTTTTCGGCAGCTCTTGTACTCCTCAAAAAACTTAAATTCTTTTGTCAATTTCAAAATACCTATCAACAAGTATGTCAACAATACAAACGACAGCAAATAAAGATTCTCCCTGAAGTACAGGTAAAGAAACCCTACAACTCAATTCTGTGAATGTAAATATGACAGTATTTGCTATTTTTTAGGTTTTCTGTTATTTAGCATTACAGGTACATTTTCCTGTGGGGTATCAGTTTGTGGAAAGGAAGTCAGAAATCATGAGAATCTAACAATTCATCATGCCTTCAAAATTTCCTGCCTGCCATTTACAGATTGTCCAAGGACCATGAGAATATCTTTTTGCAAGATGCACTCTGGGTGTATTTCTGAAGTGATTTAGTGTGTAGCATTTTTATTTTTCTCTGTTTAAACAAAAATAAACATTGTAAATTTCTTGATAGTCAAGATACAAAATAAGTTGAGCCCAGGCCTGGATTTTCCTACTACTCATTGGAACTACTGTCTGTCATTTCACTGATTTCCAATTATACACTCTGCTTCAGTTCTGGGTGCACTTCATTAGCCTAATTTTGTGCACTTATAGCTGTAAATTAAACCATTGCAAACTTATTTTTATAGTTAAAATTTTAGAAATTCAGCATGAGTTATGTTCATTCATTTTTGTAACTCGGTGGACTATGTGGATTTATACGAGCAAAAAAGGTGGCTCAATATATCTTACAACTAACATAATATTTTTTCAAAAAGTCAAGCTTCCTCCCTTCTGGTCCGATTTGATAAGTTTTGGTAGGTGATGCAAACTTCCCTATAAAGAATTTACTGTGACAAGAGTCTTTTGAAGCTTCTGGGGTAGTAAAGGGCAAAAGGCACAAGTACTTTAGTAATTGTTTAGGTATGAGCTGTACTGAGAAACTATTTCGTTTAATTTGTTCTATTGCTCCAATGCCAAAAGCTACTACTTCCATGTTACGCTTACAAAACACTCACTGTTGCTCTCACAGTGCTTCACAAATCAAATATACACAACCACACAAAAATGCAGGTATTCCTGGGGTGACAGTTGGCCCCCCCACTCTCAAGCAATGTTCTATTGAATGGCATAATAAAGGGAAGACAAACATGAGGATATAGGCCGGGGTGGGCAATAATAATTTTTGGCCAGCGCCACTTAAAAAAGTTTTCAAGAGCCTCTGGGCAGCCTGGAACGGGCGGGTCCTAAACTGGAAGGGGCAGGGCCAGTACAATTCTCGGCTGCCCCACCCACAAATCATGATTGGTCTAGGGATGGGGAAACCTCTTTATCCTCCCCTTCCCACTAGGCACCCAAGCCGTGGCCTACCACATGCTCCTCACAGGGTGGTGGTAGGGTGAGAGGAGGCTTCGGGTACTCTCCCCCTTTCCCCAGTTCAATCAAGGCCTGGGGACAGGAGAGCACTCTAAGCCTCCTCCTACCCTGTGAGGAGCACATGGCACTCTGATGTGCTGCATGCTCCTTGCAGGGCTGGGGCAGGACAAAGGAAGCTTTGTGCAGCTGCCCCGTCCCCAGGCCAATCAGGCCTTGGGGGCAGGGGAGCTGCGCGACGCTTTCTTCACCCTGCCCCTGCTCTGTGTAAGAGTATGGCACTTTGAAGCACCGTGTGCTCCTCGCAAGGGGGAGGGAGGGTGGAGGAAACTTTGCATGCTCCTCCCACCCCCAGGCCAATCAGTGCTTGGGGGCAGGGGAGCACGTAACGTCTCCTCCCGCCTTGCACTTTGAAGTGCAGCGTGCTTTTCGCAGGTGGGAGGAAGTTTCGTGCGCTTGCCCACCCCCAGACCAAATTGTCTTGGGGGCAGAGGAGTGACAAGGCTTCCACGGGCCAGATCAACCTGCTTGGCGGGCCTCATTCAGCCCGTGGATACCCTTTTGCCCACCCATGCTATAAGCAAAGGAACCAACTCCTATTCCAAATGTGTCATGAATTTTTTATAAAAATACAAGGAGACACCCTCAGACCATAAGGTTTAATTGATAGAGCTGCACAAGATAACTTACTAATTCTCGATTCACTTAAGAATTAAATGGACCCTAACAAGAGTTCAAAGCAAGTATGGACTAGACACTTTGCTCCAACAATGGACTCTATGTTTACTCAAGCAAAGTCTGGTCATCTGGTTAATACACTGGACCTCAGAAAACATGAGATCATTCCCACCTATGCTACCTACCCCTGGGCACTCTGCTTTATTTCTCTGTGCATCTGTAAAATGGGAATAATAATTATATATAATAGAAAGTTGTTGGGATAGGGATTCCCCCATGTTGTGTGTGTGCGTGTGTGATG